TATATATATAAACACACAGTCATCAATGTGAAAGTACATTTCTTTTTTCAAATAATTACGCAGTGCCTGGACAGGAATAATATGAGCGTTGAACTTCAACCACTTACATTTTATTTATTTGATCCAAGAAGCCTACTTGTATTATATAAAAACATCTGCGACAAATGTAAATTGGTAACCCTTGATGATGCACTCTTTAAAAAAAATACAAACAAACACTTTAAAAACTATTTTTTATAATCTACATGAGCTTCTACAGAAAGCCGTCTGCTATTTAAGAAACCCACAGTACAACCGTCTTGATTTCTGTAGAAAAACCATCGAAGATAAAACTCCAGTTTTATTTCTTGAAGTCGTTCTCCCAATTACGACGTAGACTAGAGGGTAAGATTGTCTTGTTTCCACAAGAACAGTCAACGAAATTTGGGGTATTAATTAAAACTCGTCCGTACATAATTTATGTGAAGGCAGACTATCTCGGCCTCGGTAGCCCAGTGGTTCGGCTACCAGATTCGTAATCGTGAGATTGCATGTTCGGAGGTTCGAGCATCAGTTCTGTCCGACGTTGTGTCCTTGGGAAGGGCACTTTACACGAATTTCCCATTTTGGGTCTGTCCTTTCGTAGATGGACGTTGAACTCGGAGGTCTCGCCTCTCAGATGCACCAATAGTGTTGATAGGGGCGATAAACGTAGATTCTATAGATTCTACAATTTCACTTTTTTTTTTCATTTCCCCTGTTTCCAGATTTCCAAATTTTAAAAAAATAATAAAATTGTAGATGTTTCACGCCCCCATTGAAACAGCTCAGATCGTTCAGGAACAGGGATGTTTTATCCCTGCCTGCCAGGACATACTTGGGCTGGGATGGACGCAGTGCCTGAACGGAAAGACAGAGATACAGTGTACCAAATAAAAACTCTTCCCACACGAGTTCCCACACGAGAATCGAACACGGATGTCCTACGTGCGATGGCGGAAGTACCTAACCGCTACACCACATGCTCCGAAAACCATTTTTTTAAGCAGCCCGTCTCCTATATAATATAAATTGTATCAGTGAAGCATTGAACACCTACAATTACTTTTTGTGTTTCTACTCACGCGGAATGAGTGACCGCTAACGCTACGAAGTTGGGCAGCTGGTACTGATCCTGTGTCTTGGCATAAGTCAACGGAGAGCAATACTGATTAGCAATCAAATATCTCGTGCGTTTTAAGGTCATCTTCATTGTTTAAAAGGTAATGTTTTAAGTGAAAGGTTTATGTGAAATGCCATTTAATGTTCAGCTTTCAATCCAGTAAAACACCCTCGCTTGTGTACTTCATATTCATATGAAACAAAATCGTGTAGCGTGTTACTGAATACATAAATGATATTGCTCTTTATTTAGTACGTGTGTAATAAGCTATTACAGTCGTAGTAACAGTATAATTGTAGTGAGTTCTAATCGTTAGCATACATTGTCAGGTCACCGATGAAAAGTTCGACATAACTCTCTACCAATGTTCAATACTCAATGAAGGACTTCAGACAGAGATGGGAACTTACAGGATTTGCTTAAACTAACTTATAGTCTTTTTTAAAAAATACTGCAGTTGTTTTTACGCATCCATCTACACAATTTAGATTATTGAGAAGGCAGGCCTCAATCCTGCCTGTTATAAGTGCCATCTCGGGTTAAGAGGGGTGAACTTGTAGTCAAAATCAAGTAAACACATTTCAGTAGCACGCAATGTAGAAAAGAAGTGATTGATCATGTCTCTAAGTCTAAGTACTATGTTGAATGTACCTCGTACATTAACAGTGACAGGACTGTGCGTTTGTGTGTGTCTTTGAGTGTGTTTGTGTGTGTCTGTGTGTGTCTGTGTGTGTGTGTGTATGTGTGTGTGTGTGTGTGTGTGTGTGTGTGTGTGTGTGTGTGTGTGTGTGTGTGTGTGTGATTCCCAGGCCTCTTTTTCGAGAATATCTCAAACTTTTTAAAATTTAGATATGAGGAAATTAAATAAATATAATATCTAATATGATAGTACATACTTTATTTTCAAGATGCAAAACACAAAATGACACTAATTTTAATATACAATGCACACCCTCCTACATATAACAGTATCCATTTAATGACACAACATGGTTCTTAAAGCAAATCTTAACGGCTCGTTCAAAAGAAGGAGAAAAAAGTGTGTGTGTGTGTGGGGGGGGGGGGGGGGGGGGGGGGGGTTGAAGGGGGTAATAAGGTTCTTACCCATAGAATTTTTATTTCTTAGAGTGTCGGAATTACTACATCAGTTTTCCTACCCGTTTGCTGAGTCTATGGGGGTAAACAGACTGGATGTCAGGTACAGATTAGGATAGAGTGTGTTCTGGTGGGGATAAAGGCAAGAATAATGGGGATAAAAGTTGGATAATATTATAACCTTATGCAAAAAACAAAAAGGGCGGGGTAGTCTTATAAGACTTTCAAAATGGCAGCCATAGCAGCAACAATAACAAAGTCATTGAACATTAAAAAAACAAAAAAAACAAAAGGCTACAAAAAATAACAACACCTTCACCTAAAGAAAAACAACAACAAAAACTATTTTTTTAGAATCAAACTCTCCCAAAAACTTCTTTTGGGGATAATCTTCCGCGTGTGTTAATCTGCAAGCCTACAGTTTCCTGTCTTTTCTACCTCACCGCTGGTCTTGAACTTTAAACCCTTGCCCAGGTTAACTCCTCGACACGTCAGAAGACTCCCAATTCAAGTATGTTCCCCAATAAAGCCAAAACTGCAATCAGCACACAGAAAGACAAGACAGACAATGCCATCCAGCCGCTCTCAAAACTTCCCTGGTGTGAGCTACCAGACGTCGAACAGCCTCGCGTGTGCAAAGGGAACCAGGTTCGATTCTCCACGCTCAGAATAGCTTGGCGCGCACCCGACCATCTCCCTGGACCGTCCAGCCTCCACTGGGCAGGGCACAGGGGTCCGGTGACCAGTGTCCACCAGAAGCCAGGGTCGGTGAAGAAATAGCGCCAGAGCCTTGGCTGGCAGCCGATCTCCTTGGACAGGTCGCTGCAGTAATCGATGTAGTGGATCTTCAGACTGTACCTGTTGATAAAACAATAGCATTAAGGCAACTGTCGATATAATGGATCTGAAGACTGCACTTGACAGCAAAATAGCATTAACCGTTATTTTCGATATAATGGACCCGAGGACTTACCTGCACATGATAGCAAAATAGCATGAAAGGTAATTATCGATATAATGGATCTGAAGACTCCAACTGACAGCAAAACAGCAGAATTCTAAAAGTAATGATCACCGTCGATACAATGAATCTGCAGGTCTGTATCTGCTAATAAAACAACAGCAGTAACAGTGCTTGTCGATTTAATCGATATCTGTTTCCCACATCTGGCTCAGGGGAAAGTAAATAAAGTGATGTGGGTAAAATTTCACACAAATAAACAAAGGCAAAGAGAAAACTTTGCTCTTCTGTCAACGAAGAATGAACCATTCTTACTCACAAGACAAAGTAATTGACTATCAGTGTCAAAATTTGGAATAAACTAATGCATTCTTTAGAAGGTTATTCCCAAGAAGCCACATCAAATTTTATCTGGACTGTCTGTTGATATACTCGCAGCAGTAATAATACAGTCGACCAGTTGATAAATTAGAAAATACAGGAGACAGAAAAGCAACTGAACAAACAGAGGGCAGACAAACAAAAAATGGAAAATTGCGTAAAGAGGCTCAAGACATTGGGAGTCTGATTGCGATGGTCTGCAATGCCTGGTGTTAAGAGAGTTTAAATACTTTTAGTACATTTTTTGCCTCCTCCTTCTACTGCAATTTTGGGCCCCATAACTGTCGCAAGCCATTTTCGACGATCCATGGCATCTTTTCCCCAGGCAGTTTTACCTATGTCACAGTTACCCCTTTGGTTTTTGAGGACGTTCTTGGGGCGTAGTTTCCGTCCGCCTCTTTTTCTGCCTTCTTTACAAAATTGTCCATATAAAACATCCTTTGGGAGACGACAATCTGGCATCCTTGCCAAGATGAGGCCCGTCTATCTCAACTGGGGGGGCTGTTATCAAGGCTTCTTCGCCTTCAGTATATTAATTTGGTCGCTTCAGGATTTCCAGGTTTGCAGCCCTTCCCTACCAACTGATTCCCCGCCCGCAGCTGTCTTAGTTGAAGGAGTTGGATTCCTGTAAGCTTTTAAAGGTGCCGACGATACGTGGCCATGCATTCAGCGCTATACAAAAGCACTGGGAGAACTGCTGCACAATGTATTGTAAACCTTTACTTTTACTGCCAGTCTGACAGCGTGCAAGTACCTGAGTTTCTTGTCGAGCTCTCCAAATTTGTTCCTGTCTGCTAGGACTCTTCTGTCAGCTTTCGCATCTGATGAGTTTGAGCCAGTCACAGCGAGACCCACAGTTACGTGAAACATCTAATTGTTCAATTAAAGAGTTTCTTCATTGGCAGCGATGTTTAGGCGAATTTCTTCTTCTTTGTTCTGAGGGTCAGGCTAGTTTTTAAAAATTCCTTTTTCATCATGTTGATTTTCAGTCCATGGAGCGCAGCAGTGGCTGAGGCATGTGTCACTATCTCTTGCATTTGTTTCTGATCATTTGCCACTAAGGCCAAATCGTCCGCACATAGAAGCCCCTATGGACACAGACATCTCCTTGACATTATTAAGATAAGATAAGATAAGACAATACTTTATTACCCGAGAGAGAAATTTTTCTTGGCTGTTCAGGACCGTAAAAACACATGTAGGTATACATTTTAAAAAATCAACTTTTATATTACTCTCATTAAAATTCAATATGAAAAGAGAAGTAAAGCTTACAAAATGTACATATCACATCAGATACATCATTCAACAACATGCAGGAACTTAAGTACAAGATCTTTGGAGTTATATAGATACATACTCTAAAGAGCATTATACACGTTATTCTTATTCTGACAATAGCCATATGCCAGATGGTAAAAAACTTCTTTTATATATTTCTTTCTTTGTTAATTAGAGGTACATATCTGCCGTTGTGCGATCTTACAATTTGCGTGGAAAGGGGGTGTGATGGGTCGTTTATAAGGCTTTTTATCTTTGTTATACTTGTAGTGTTATACATTTCAGCAGTTCTAGCATATTCATATCCAGAGACCTTGCTGGCTTTCTGAATGGTTCTGTAATTTTTTTTCTTTATCTTTTTCATTACAATACCCAGCCCAACAGCAAATACAAAATAGTAGCACGGCTTCAATCATAGAATGGTATAAAAGGGACATAGTCTTATTATCAACACGAAAATGTCTTAATTACCTTAAAAGGAACATTCTTTAATTTACTTTTTTATGCACAAGAGCAGCTGGGGATGCCAGTCAAGTTTGTTATCAATTTTCACACCAAGATACTTGTAAGAGCTTACCACCTCCACTTCCTCATCTTTAATAAATAGTGGTTGCAATTGGTCTTTTTAACTCTACCACAGCAGACCCAGCATTCAGAACCGATCTCAGCTTTCTGATACGTACGCATAATATAATGCAAGCTGTTATTTGACAGGCGTTAAAACACTATCATACGGATAAAATCTAGCTTTCTCTGTTATTGCCGGACATCCGTTAACACCTGAGTGAAGTGAGGAAAATTCGTGTCAAGTGCCTTTTTCATAGGACACGATGTCGGGTCGAACTGAGTCGTGGGCGTGTGAACCGTTAACCCATATCCAGAGACCTTGCTGGCTTTCTGAATGGTTGCCTGCAACCACACGATTACTAATTAGGAGTCTAATACCCAGTACACACTGAGGATCAGATTCAGCGAACTGAGTCTTTGCCAGCCAGATTCTCCTATATGTAGGGCAAAAACTAGCATTCTGGCACGATACGACAGAGGTCGGCTAAATTTGACTGTGACCTACAAAATCAAACGATTTTGTTTTTCAGTCACGAATCTCATCGTTCTTATTTTGCCAAAACGGTAGCTTTCGCACAAACCTAACACAAAATTATGGCTGGCCCCGCCTCAATCCGATGACTCCAATTGGCATTCTGCTCTTGGTATAACCAATACACTACCGACGTCACAATAGAAGTGACGGTAGTTGTCGATGGAGTAGATTCTATGACGGGAAATACACATGTTGCAAAACATACGGCAATATTATAGTCGAATTATGGTAACAATAGGATGTATATGCACGGACGACTAAAAAAATAACCATACGAAGAGTATGATCAAATATTGTTCTGAGGAATGAAACAAAAAGGTTTTTTTCATCGCCGATGTCGAAATCTCCAACATCGCCAAAGAACACTCCTCGTCAAAAAAAGGAAACAAAATAAAAGAATAATCTAAAGTGTACTGCCTTTGAAAGACAGCATCATTGTATATGCAGGATAGGAGATGATACTGAATTGACAATTTAGTATGTTGTAAACTGTATCATAGGTAAACAGTAGATAAAGCAGGACCTAAAACGATCAATTAGTAGGCTGTGCGGTTAATCAATCACATTAGCACATATTATTCAACAAAAGAACTGTGTAAGTGAATATTCAGTGCATTTTACATCAAAATGGCACATTATGCAGCAGTTCAAGCGTATCTGTGATTGATTTACACTTTGCAGCTAGATATTGAATGACTTCATCGTGAGTGCCGATTCTAACTGTGCTCGTAAATTGTACTTTTTTTATACAAAAGGTTATCAAAACGAGTTCAATAAGCATAGTGTCGTGATTTGAAAAGGATGGACCTGCTTTTAAATGTGCTGTTGCTCCAGCTGTAGGAGTGTAAACTCTTTAGAATATATAGAAACCACCCTCTGTGATTTTTTAAATTATAAGTAATTTATTAAAGAATTTTTTTAATACAGCGTATAGTGTTTACAAACATATTTATTGATCTGTAGATACAAACTAATACAAACCGATGTTGCAAAGTTGGAGCATTCGTCTTCTACAGTAGGGGAGGTACTTGACAATAAGTGGCGCCACGAGTTTTTGACAGCCTTCTAGGCCATTTAGTCAGTTACTGTGATGCGGCATTGCAGCAAAGGATTGATGTGCCCACGTGTGTGTGCTTGTGGGCGCACGCACCTGTGTGTGTGTGTGTGTGTGTGTGTGTGTGTGTGTGTGTGTATGTGTGCACGCATGCATGCACGTATGTGTTAGCGAGTATAGATCCAAGAAGGAGACAACTCACCTAGGAGTTGTCTTTTCTTGACGGAAAAGATCTCTATGCAAGCGATTGACTCTCTTCTCCATGACGTCAGGGGGTGGCAAACGACATCTGCCGGCGAACACTCTCGTGGCCCACCTTGCTTGTGTCTCCAGTATAGGAGGTAACGCTCCGAGCGGCTGCACCAGTCCTATTACCGCGAGAGAGTTATCCTCTCTTCCCACCGGAAACACGAATTTGTACAAGAAGGGGAAGCTATTCTTGACGCAAACTTCCTCCTTGTCCAAAAATGGTAACGTATAGGTATACCCCGTTCCCATGACAACCACGTCAATATCTTCAATGCGGGTGCCGTCTGTGAATGTTGCGCCATTCTTTGTGAATTTCTGTATGTCAGTCTTGATGGTGACATCCCCGACAAGGATTCGCATTGGAAGATCGTCACTGAACGTGACTCCAAACTTGTCTCCAGTTGGTGCCAAGGAAAACCTGTATCGACGAAATAAAGGATATAATTTCTACTTTTTTATCTTGACGAGTGTAAAACTCAATTTCTGAACAAATTGTATGATAAAAACAGCATTTATTAAGTGGATGATGAAATTCAAAACATTTGTCATAATAAATTGTGTATCTGAATCTTTGAATACATAATCATACACATGTGCATACACACAAACAGACACACACGCACACACACACACACACACACACACACACACACACACACACACACGCGCGCGCGCGCGCGCGCGCACGCACATACACACACAAACACGAAAACACATACACATATAGATTTTAAGGTTAGACTATAGCTATACGTGGTGCTAAGCGACGTATGGATAATGTATTATCCAATTATAATGATTAATTGGTCATGTATGTATTATCGGGCTGTGATAGGATCCTCTTAAAAAATAGAACGCCTTTATACATAAACAATTTTGACCCCCTTACGTTGAGATGACCATCCTAATTAGAGATTAAAGGCTTTATTTATAATGGGGCTACAAATCAATAACGAAACAATTAGTTAAGACTTTAGATTTGCTATGATCGGGTCTAATACAACAGTACCGCCTATTCCTTCCAGGTGCTTTAACTGGATAATCGAAGAAAATGGGGAATGCTGTAAGGGTACCTGACATAGTGGTATCTAATTAATCCAAGTAAGATAACTGGTCAGTCGAAGAAACAGACACATACAGCAAAGGTCACCTGACATGGTCGTATTTGGCGTTGACCTTGTTGGTGAACCGTCTATCCCGGCCAGGCAGGAAGGTGGTGAGATGGTTGAGGCGACTCATGGCCTGGTGGTCAAATGGTGCTCCCCTGGCGCCTGTGCGCTGACACAGGAAGGTGCCTCGACGGGTGCTCATATACACCTGCAGGGTACAAATCCAAGTCCGCCTACTGTTTATGTGTCTGTCTGTCTGTCTGTCTGTCTGTTCGCATGTTCGCTTGTTTGTTAGTTTGTCTATCTGTCCATCCGTCCATTTGGCTTTTTGTCTGTCTGTTAGTCATTCTTTCTCTTTGTCTGTCTGCCAGTGTGTGCGACTGTCTGTCTGTCTGTTAGTCACTCAGTCTCTCTGTCTGTCTGTCTCTTCAACTCTCCGTCTGATTGTCTATATTATTATATATCTGAATGTCTGTCAACCTGTCAGTCTACACTTCTGAATGTCTGTATATATTATTTTACTTGTGATTTAATTGTGTATAGGGAGTGTAAAAAATATCTACCTTTTAAAAAATTACATTGCAGACATGCATGGCCCCAACTCACGTGTTTGGCGTGACGACTTAGTTCACAAGTGACGTCAGTGGCGGAGTTGCCGATGCCAATGACCAGCACTGTCTTGTCCTCGTAGCCGCTGGGGGAGGGAATGCTACACTAGATTGTCCTGGGTGTGGTGTGTGTGTGTGTGTGTGTGTGTGTG